GAGCCCCGCGCAGGTGGGCGGAGAGCCCGAGCCCGCGCGGACGCCGGCAGCGACGCGGGCGGGAACGCGGCGCTCTCGCTGCTCGAGCGCGGGCGGGGCAGGGCAGGTGTTCCGCCGCTTAGCGTTGTCTGCGTGCAGCGACAGCTCCGAGCAACGTGAGGCTTTTTATTCAGGAAAAAAAAAAAACAGATGAACGAAGTTCTGCGCAGAGTACTCTGAGAAAACCAGGACGGGGCGCGCCTTCGGCGAGCGCTCAGCGAGTTGCCTTCCGGAACTCAGCCTGGAAGGACAGATTTGGGGAAGGGGGACATCGGCCTTGGGCGAGGGTTCCTGCCATCTGGGGTCAGCGATTAGAAAGTGACCAGGGACTTGGGCTCCCTGGCTGGCTGGAGCCCACCTCACCTGGGGCCGTGCCAGCAGACCCCGGAGCCCAAAGCGCGCGTCCCCTGCGCGCCGCGCACTGGGACTCGTCGCCTCGCTGCTCGGCCCTGCCCCGCCCCGGAGACGCTGCCGCGCAGTTACCCGCTGGGAACCCTGGCACAAGGGTTCTCCAAGTCCGGAAACAAGAACTGGCCGCGACTTCAGGACTGGTGGCGCCTGCCTGGGGGTGGGTCTCAACTCTGGCCGAGCCGGGCGGGCAGAAAGGGAGGAGGAGGAGCCTTGTCATCAGAAGAATCTGTTTTCGAATCCCAGCTCCGCGGTTTCCCCCGCAAGCGTGCTGCGTAAGTGCGCCCACCCAGTTCTTCGCTTGTCGCAAACTGGGGACGGGTAGTCCCCAGTCTGAAGGCTTTGGGTTTCTCCTCAAACCTGGATCCAGAGCTGGGAGCCTCACGTTTAGCCTCCAGGCCAGCCAGAGTAGCACGCGTGTAGAGCCGTGCCAGGGGCCGCGGGCACGCAGCCGCAGCAGGAGGAGGCGGAGGCCTCCTGAAAGAGGCGCAGCGCCTCGCTAACGGAGCGCTTGCGCTAGCAGTGCGCATCGTCTCTCAGTCTGCACCTCCGCAAGGACACTGCTAATGGTCGCCCCCATTTACTAGATGGGCGATCGGAAACCCAGGGGCCTGAGCAGCTTGCCTGCAAAGAGACCTTTTCCACTCCACTAAGGAGCAGAAAATCCATTCAAATTTAGGTCCATCTATACCAAAGTCTAATTAATGCCCAGTGATTTTTGGTCCCTTGCAACTGCCACTCTCTCCGCCGAATGCTGTGCACCTGTCATCTCACCACCTCCACGCATTATTTTCTCATCAGCTAATACTTACTGAGCTCTGCTATGGATCAGGTAATAAGCAAGGCACAGGTATGCACTGGTTAGTGAGGCAGGTACGTCGCTCTCTCCGGGAGGTTAGCAGCGTCAACCTCTGTAAGAAATATGAGGACACGGGGCTTCAGACAGTCCTACGGCTTGTCTAAAGTCACACAGCCCGGCGCAGGGAAGCTGGACTCGCGTCTAGGACCGCGTGCCTCTGGACCGCGCCTCTGGCCGTCTTGAACCAGGACAAGCGAACATACAGTGGGACCAAGGTGGTGACTGGACCGTGGAAGGATGGCCTGAGCGCCTCCCACCCCTTAGAAGGTCCCCGAGTGGGAGCATAAAGGCCCAAACCCTCATGCATAGTAGCCTTGTGTGGTCCTACGTTATTTTAGAATTTCTTAATATTAAAATAATAAATGCTTCCAAAGACATTGGGAGAAATCGAGAATAAAGTGGGGGAGCCAAACCCACAATCCCCTTCACCACAGGCAGCTGCTGGGAACATTGGGAGGTGTCCCTTCCGATCGCTGCGATGCAGTTTGTATGCGTGTTTGTTTTACATTCTTGTAACTGTGCGGGTTCACTCCAGCCCTTAATCCCGTTTTTTTCACTTGAATGAAAATCTTTAATGCTCTTACATCGGTTATCAAGACAGTAGCTGCCTGCCTGTGACAGGCACCGTGTGGAGGGCGTTCCCTACCCTGAAGCTCCGTTCTGTTTCAGACATGAGGAGACGGCATCCAAGCAGGGGTCAGGGTTGGCATCTGGGTGGGCACTAGAGCCCATGCTCTGAAGCCCTGGGGCAGAAGACGCCCTCTGTAGAAGCACATCCTCAGCTGTGCCTGGAAAGCTGTGCGGTCCTGTAGTAAAAGCACCTGAGGAGGTCACCTGCACCCTACCTGGAGCTGAGGCCAGGTCCCCAGTGAGGAGAAGGAATCTCTCCCCGCAGCAGGGACAAAGGCACACCTCCCCAGGTGCCCGAACCTCTCTCTGAGCCAGGTGGCAGGCCCGGCCTGCACCCCGCCTTGGCTGGGTAGGGCTGCCAGGCCAAACACCGGGTGCCCGGTGAAACCTGAACCCAGACAAACAGCTAGTAACGTTTCAGTGTAAACATGTTCCAAATAGTACAGGGGAGATATTTGTGGTAAAAATTATGCATTGCTTATCTGAAATTTAAATGTAACTGGGAGTGTTGCATTTTTATTTGCCACACTGCCAGGAATCCTGGAAGTTTGCTTGGCTTGTAAGCTATGGTCTGCCCACGTTCCCTTCTGTACTCATCACACACACACACACACACACACACACACACACACACACACTCGCACACAGACACTGCTCTCCCCGCCCCTAGACCCTCAGTCCTGCTTTTGTTCTGCCGTAAAAGAATTAAAATGTGCATGGGTGGGGGCACCCCAGGGTCTTTCCTCAGCGTAGAGACCAAATTAACCGTGCCTAATCGCAGCTAGGCTGAGAGACAGCTTTCTGAAACGCATCTCTTGGCTCCTCCCCGCCCCCCAGGTTTCCCGGGTTCACGCTTGAAGTCCCTGCCCCGGTAAAAGCTTCGCTGTTCGAGCCTGTTGCAAAGGCCCTCCTGGTGCTGTTAGAATCTCTCCACGACCCCAGGAGAAGCCTTTGGGCCAGTACAGCTTCTTCTCCAACCTGGTCCTTCCAGCAGCGTGTTTGGAGTGGCAGGGAGGCCAGGAGGGGGGTGGACAGCGGTGGGCCCCCGGGACGTTTGTGGGTGGCTTCTCAGAAACCTCGCGGAGGCCTTGGAGACTTAGAACGAATACAGGGCGGCGGGAGGAAGTTTTGCGTTGCTATGGGAACATCGTGGGGACATTTGTGGGCCCCCATGAGCTGCTCCAGGCACCTGCCTCTCGTGGAGCAGAGGGGGCAGACATGAAAGGGAGGCTGTTGGGGAGCTGGGGTCTGCCGGCTGCACCCCAGCTCCCAGTAAAGGAGGGACATTTCCCCTGCTCTCCCTCACAACTGCCCCCGTGGTCCTCACTAACCTCTCCTCTTGGCTCCTCTGGTTTCCGGGAAATCAGACTTCAAAGGCAGGAGGGGAACGTGGGTGGGACACGCTCCCTTCAGAACCCCAGCCAGGCATGGGCCGAGCAAGAACTCTGTCCCCTGGCCCTGGTGTTCCAGAGTCCTCCGTCCTTCACAGCAGAGCGTGCATCCCCGGTGGGCACTGTGCGGTGTGTCCTTATTCACTGTCTCCCTCCGCTCACATGTCGGCCGGGGACAGGGACCCGTCTGCCCTGTTCACGCGGCATCCCTCGCCCTTGGAGCAGTGTTGAGAATACAGCAGGCGCCCAATAAACGTTTGCTAAATGAACAGGTTGTGCAGGGCAGCAGGGTGTGATGTGGGTCCTGGGCCTCCTCCCCTTCCAGCCAGCACGAGTCTATGGGGAAGGAAGGTCGAGCGAAGGCCCAGTTTAACTGGTGGACGCCGGCCTCCTCACTATGGACAAAGGATAATGACGAAAGCTAGAAAAACCTCCCAATTTCCAAGTGAACGCCAATTCTGAAATTAGGGGAAGGCTGCTGTTAACTGCAAGCTCCCAGGTGGGCCTTAGGGATCTGCACACGGGCTGCATTTTTATACCTGCGCATCCTCATGGTACACAGACTGTGCAGCCCGGGGCCACAGGCCAGAGCGTCCAGGCTGTCTGCACGGACGTCCCGTTTGCTGAGCAGTGTCATCTCACGCAGGTTACCCCCCGACCACCCTGTTGCTCTCCAAATCTGACACACAGAAGCCAAGACTCAGAGGGCTTCAGTGACCACCGAAAGGCTGGTCACCGCTAGCGCCCACCGGCTGACCCAGGAGCTGCTCAGGCCCGGATGCTGTCAGCTGCCACCCTCTCCTAAGCCAACCCCTGGCTCCTCTGTGAAATTCAGAAGACGTTCAGGGTTTCAGAGAAGTAGTGGGAAATAAAGTTTTTGCCCCTAGCAGATGACCAAGAACCGACCCAAAGTTGTACAATCCCCCGCTTGTGCCTCCCACTCCTTCCACCCCCAGAGGCACTTTGCCCTGGAGAATTCATTGCTGCAGCGGGAGGCTTGGCTTCCCTTTCCACCAGGAAGCGCTGGGATCCACACTCTCAGAGCCTCTGCTAGAAATGGGGGAAGTTTCTTTGGGAGAACCGCCCCGCTCCGAACAAAGCTTGGCATGTTTCTGATTCCTCATCAGTCTGACAAAATAGGTATTTATTTGTGCCTCTCCAACGGGCGGCTTGGACATGGTGTTCCGCATCGGGAAGTGGCCATGCACCAAGCGAAATATCCGTTACTATAGTAACAGCTCCTTTTTATTGATACCAGAATAAACAGGAATGCTAAGCAGCCGCACTCGTTGGCTCATTTCAGCTGCCTCCCAGCCCCAGGGCTTTAAGAACCTCCCTTTGGAGGCGGCCCTCCTGGCCAGCCTGGGACTTCTCAGTGCAGTGAGGAGCCAGCAGCCCTGCTCCTGACTTCCCTCTCCAAGGACCAGCGTGAGCAGTAAGACCGTTTCTGTTCTCTTTCACCTGCCTTCAGTCTGGGTGCTGTGCCGGGAGGAGGTGGGAGGGAAGGCCAGCCTCGCGCGCTGCAGGGGGCCGTAGCGGGCTGAACTCTCTGACTTGAGGTGCCTGGGTCCGTGGGCGAAATGGTGTAGAGAATGCTTCTGACACCCTGGATTTAGGGAAAGGATAGGTGTGGACACCCTGATATTCCTGTTGATCTTTTGCTTCTAAGTACACCGAGGAATCTGAACATGTGCCCAGGATGGCCTCACTAAACCCATGATCACACAGGACGTGGGCGTCGTGTGCCTGATCACCAACAGGTAAAAGGCCAGAGTGCCGGTACAAGTGAGAGAACACGGCTTTTAGCATCAGACAGCTCGGCCGAGATTCTAGCTCCTTCCTTCACTGGCTGTATGATCTGGGGAAATCAGACAACCTCTCTGAGCCTCAAAGCCTTCATCCGTAAGCGGGTAATGATACTCCCACCTCCTCGGTCTGCTGAAAGAACTCCATGAGACACAGCTGCTCGGTCTAAGCAGGGCGTGTGGCTCATCCTGGGTGCAGTGGTGCTGGCCCGCCGCCCTCGGTGAAGGTGGCTGTAGAACACTGCGGTGTAAGGCTTGTCTGGGGTAGGGCCAGAAATCGGGCACCATGGGGCTCGGTGTGTCACTTTTTGAAACTGCCACCAAACCTGGGCGGTTTCTGACTGTGCGACAGCACCCGCATCCTGGGGGGGCACAGGTCCTGAGCGGCTCCTTTAGCTCAGTGGGTGTTCCCCAGGGGGCACCTTCGGGAAAGCCCGGCCTGCTGATGCCGGTTCCCTGCTCCATGGCACAACACTGAGCCCCGTGTCCAGCCCTAGACTGTGCTACAGAATGGACCCAACCCCTCCAAGGCCCACCCGGACCCGCTCCTCACAAAGTAGGAAGCTGAGGTGATCACAGCAAGGCGGTCAGGGAGTCTGTCTCGAGCCATCAAATCCAGACTCACAGACTGCTCTGCTGGGAGCTTCCAGGCATTGGCCAAGGCTGCCGGCAGACCTGGAGCTGGCTCGGTACACTGCGCTGTGGTCGCCGGCCAGAGAAATACAAGTGGGCACTTTGCCCGCCGGGAGGGAAAAGGCCAGAGGAGTCAGGACGTCCAGCAGCCACGCTTGTCACGGTGCAGAATGCTTCTTTCTCCCTTGCCAGCCAATATTCTAAGAGCCTGTCGCCTCCTCTGCCCTGCTACCTTGTCACAGGCTGAGGCAGGACAGTTCCGAGCGGGGGGCGGGGGTGAAGACTGGGCGACTGCCCAAGAGGGAACCAACCGGTGGGCAGCCAGGCCCTTGGGTTCTGGCTCCAGCCCAAGGCTGCCAGGTTGGGCCAAGGCTGCCCAGGGAGGGTTTGCGGGTGTGGGCTCGAGACCTCCACTTTCTTGTTTCTAACGTGGGCTCCCAGGGCCTCTTCGTCAGGGTTTCTTGAGTGCAAAGACAGGAAAGGGAAGCTTGGCCCACAGAGGAGCATTTTGCACCTGAAGACAGTGGTGTGATGAGAGCACTGGGTCTCGAGTCTGAGAATCCCGGCTTTGCCACTTATTCACCGTATATCTGTCTCGGCCCTTCCTGCTGGACCTTGGTTTTTACCCATGAACTCTTGGGGTGATGATGAGACCCAGACCAAGGGGCCGGGGCTCAGCGGAAGGGCCCTTCGGGTGAGCAGGGCCAGAGTCTGAATTGATGAGCACCATTCTGTCGAGGCCCGGGGTCCAGCACATCTGCACATGGGATCATTTCAGCCTACCGACAACCCTAGGAGCAGGCACCGCCATCTACGCCGCTGCGCGGAGTAGAGGCGCAGGGAGGGAAGGGAAGCCATCCGCCCACGGTCACACAGCCACAGAAGGCGCCACTGTGTCTTTAGTCCAGCACGGCTCCTGGGAGACATCTGCTTTAGCCACAGTGCTTTACTGGCCCTTGTGTGTCAAAGACGCAAACAGAACCGCTAGAGCAATGGACAGAGAGATGGACCATTAGTACCTTCGCCCGTGGTCCCTCAGTCAGTCTCAGGTGCACAGGGGCCTGGGCCCCATCGACGTAACTCCTCCCCCGCCCCGCTCTTTCCTGGTACCCAGGAGAGCACAGCACTGTTTCAAAGCCGCCGTGCACACCCCTGCAGCCTGATGAGGTCTCGCTGGAAGCCTTACCTGGTATGGGCTCTCTGGGGTCCTCTGTAGAAGCAGAGAAGAACCAAGCAACCTCTTGTTACCCCTGGCCTTGAGTAACAAGGTCAGCCCCATGGTCCGCATGCTAAGTGGGTGTTACCTGCCCACCCGTGAAGTCCTGTAAGACACCCAGTGTAACTGTCACCTCCCGGCTCCCTCGGCCTCACGCCCAGCCCTGGAGCTCATCAATCTTAAGCAACATGACTGTCCAGAAAAGGGTTCCCAGGGACGCAGACCCACCCAAGTCACAGCTCCCAGGCTGCTCGCAGTACCCAGGCCAAGTCACTTGGGCCGAAGCAAAGAAGCTTGGTTGTTTGGGTCCTTTGTCCAACTCCGTGGTTCACAAAGATGTCCCACTATTGGAATCACCTTGGGAGTTTTAAAAATTTCAGAGGCCAAGTTGCCCCCTAAGCCAATTAAATCAGAATCCCTGTGGGGGAATCAGGTATTAGTTTCCTACCACCTCCCTTGGCGACACCAGCCAAGGTGGGACACCTTAGCCCGCCAAGGTTAAGATCCACTGATTGAACCAATGCAGTTTTGAAGGCGAATGAGAATGCTGAATCCAGGGCTAGGGATGGGACTTAGTAATAGTAATTGTCAAGAGCAGCTGGCTGTGGGGTCACGCTGCAACCCAGGGGCACCACGGACAGTTTTACTCTGCAGGAGTTGAGGCCCCTGGGCTGTTCCTTGCACACCGGCCTTGCTGCCTATGGCAGCCCCGGTAGCCAGCACCAAGCCCTTAAGGCATTTGCCAGGCACTTGCGAGTATCGCCTCAACAACAACCTCTGTGAACAGGGCTCTACTCTGACACCATCCACAGAAGGGGAGACGCCGCCCACAGCAGCTTCCCCTCCCACGCAACTCTGCTGTTCTAGCCAGAAAGCGGCGTAGATGTGAGTGCTGAGGGGACGTGGCTACGCTCTAAGACCTCAGGATTTGGACCACAGGCCCAGGTTTTCAGACTCCAGTTGCCAGGGGTAGGCAGGCTTGCCTTAGACTGAAAAAAAAAGAGCTGAGATTCGAACCTGGGTCTGAAGGGTTCCCAGGTCTCTAAATATTAGCCATTTAACTTTTTCCTCCTCCTTTGGCCAGTTCCTCTCCCTGCAGCTCTTCCTTAGGGTTTTTCCTTTTTTATTTTCAGCGCTGACCTGTTACTGACCACCTCCCCAGGGGTGTCGGATCTCTCAGGATCTCCCAGCAACCTTGAAAACGACCCCAGCCCCCCCTCACAGGCCTGCTTGGGCCCCGGGACAGGCCAGATTTTCCTGTGCTTTGAAGTTGCACAGTTCTTGGCAAGTGCTTAGTTCAGAGCTGTGGGCCGGCGCTGGTGCCAGGGCTGCCCGTACAGCAAGGCACGTTGGGCCCTACACAACTTCAAGGCTTCCTTTGAGAAAGCCTCTTTTGTGACCCAGTTTGTGTGAGGTTCTTCTACATAGAAGCCTTAATTAAATTAAAAGGCAGGAAGGCTGGCTTTGCAGTTCTTAAGCCCTGTGGGTTTCCAACAGGCCTCCCCTCCCAACCCCACCACCTGTGTACAAGGACCTCACGGGTGCTGTTTGCTGGGGTTTCATACCTCAGTACCCTTAGTGACCAAAGGAGCAGTTTCCCACCTGCAGCTCCGGGCTAATGAACCAAGCACAGCTGGGCATGGTGGTGCACACCTGTAGATCCAGCACTCTGGGAGGCTGAGGCAGGGGATTTTACAAGTTTGACCCCAGCCTGGGCAATTTAAGGACTTACCAAGACTCCATCTCAGAAGTGAAAAATAAAAAAGGTCTGGGCATGTAGCTCAGTGCAAAGGCCCTAGGTTCCATTCCCAGGACTTGGAGGGAAAAGAAAAAAGGAAAGGAAAGGAAAAGGAAAGGAAAGAAGGAAAAAGGAAAAATAACCAGCCGCATCTTTCAGGATCCCTGCCTCACCTACCACACCGCCTGGCTCACTGCTAGGCTCAGCGGAGAGGAAAGGGCCTGGAGCCGATCCGTGAACCAGGACTGGCCACTGATCAGATCTGCGGTGCTGCACGACATCATTTGCAGGCCCCGTGCATAATAAATATGCAGGGCCACTTGTCCAGAGTGTATCAGGAATGTCAAGGCAGCGACAACCGAAGGTTAAAGCAAACCAGGCCCTCTGAAGGTCCCGGCGCAGACTGAGCCCTCCTCCGGGTGGGGCGGACCCTGGGGCCGTCGGCCTCGGCTGCCGGTGACGGGGGCGAAGGGTCTCAGCCCGGCCAACGGGAGGCCGCCTCCCCTGGAGTGTAGTGGGAAAAAGAGGCCGAGCCTGCCCACTGGAAGCGAAGGAAGCCAGAGTCATAAAAATTCCTCAGACCTGCTGACAGCTTCTCTCACACAGCGGCCAGAATGACCTTTTCAAACTCGGATCAGACGCGCTCTTTCCCGACCTTAACCCACCCGTCCCGTCGCTGGGACACTGCCGGCCCTGCGTGCCTCTCGGGCACACTGTGCCTCTGTGTTCTCCGAACAGACCCCGCTTGTTCAAGGTGCGCGTCGGGCCCCACGCCGACACGCCACTTCAGTCCTAAGCCTGGGCCTTAAACGCGGCCCCGCTGAGAGGCCCTCCTGGCCCGGCTGATGGTGGGTCCCACGTTAAACTCCATGGAGCAGGCAGTTTCCTTCCGGAGCTCAGCACCACTGAAACCTGTGTGTGTGTGTGTGTGTGTGTGTGTTCGTTCACTGTCTGCCCCTCTCCCCCTTTGGCTCCATGAGAGCAGCAACCTTGCTTGTTTAGTTCCACTCTGTGTATCCAAGCCCTCGGCAGAACCTGGCAGCTCACAGCTCAAACGTGTGGAAGGCGTGAGCACCTCGTCACCACGCACCACCGCCATGCTCATCCCTGCTGCGTGGGGCTCTTGAGTCGGGGTGATCACTTTGTGTCCGGCACCTCACTGAATTCTCTCTCCAGTGCATTGCTAGGTGTATAGCTATATCTTTTTCAGATATTAATTTTGCCATCTCCTAAAGTTATAGAGCTTTCTGGTTTCTGCCTTATAACTTTGGCAACATACAGTTTGTGCTTGCAAAGATGGTATGACTAATGACACGTATGTAACTCTGGGACATTTGAGCACAAACAAACTAGGGACATGGGGAATAACCAGGGAGTCACAGTAGGTATTAAAGTGTGGTGTGGCCAGGCATGGTAGCACACACCAGGCACTTGGGAGGCTGAGGCAGGAGGATCACCACAAATTCTAGGCTAGCCTAGACTACCTAGTTCAAGGCCAGCCTGAACTACATAGGGAGACCCTAACGGGTTACCGGGGCCTGTAAAACAAGTAGGTATCAAGAGGAGGGGGGCTCCCAAAACTCCACTATGAATCAGGGTGTTCTAATACTTTGGCTCCCAGACAAACTGATCCCATAGACTAAGGAAATATCCCCACAGGGCAGGGGAGATGGCTCAGTGGCACAGTGCCTGCCTGGCAAGCGCAAGATCCTGAGTTTGGTACCCCGTACCAAAACAAAAAAAAAAGAAAGAAAATATCCCCACAAAGGGGGTGGGGCTACAGGAGGGGATATAGGAAACTGCTTATTTTGTCAAGGGCATTTTAAACTACAGAATACTATCACAGTCATTTTTTTTTAGAAACCAAAAAATGAGAAGGGATAAACCTGAAAATAAGTAGCCATATGGGAAAGACGAAAAGAAAGGAAGTCAATTAGAATTCTCACGTTAGAAGTGGTTCTGAGAATGCTAATTCAAGAAAAAACAGCAGATACGTTTCTGTATTCTGACACTTAATCTGGCTGCATCCAAATTACACCAACTAACACTTTTGCCAGTTTACACAACACTGTTACATACGTGGTCTTAATTCTCCTAACAGCACCCTGCGGCTTTAGTAACAGAAATGCCACGCAGGCCGCGCCTGGGAAGCCTTCTCTGCCCGATGCCTTGCTCCCCAAACAGACCACCTCCCACTTGCGCCCCGCCACACCTCTGCTCTGTTTCCTACCCCAGCAGCTGTTAGCCCCTGCCGGGTTGCCCCACAGGCAGCCCCTCGCCTTGCTTCCCTGCAGATCTCGGCCCAGCCATCGACCTGCAGGCTGGGAGGAAACGGCTCCCGCCTCTTCCCAGCTGCCCAGGGCAACGTGGTGTCCTCCGGAGGGTGACTGAAGCCAAGGGTGAGCGGGGACACACTTCCTCTGTTGCCTCACGGGGGGCACGTGCCTAGGCACTGGTTCCCCAGGACCTTTTTAAAAAATCTTTTTCAGACAGGGTTTCACTGCAGTTCACGCTGGCCTTGAGCTCACTTTGTAGCCCAGGCTGGCCTCCAACTCACAGCGATCCTCCTGCCTCAGCCTCCCCCATGCTGGGATTATAGGCAGGCGCCACCACACCCAGTAAGGCCACATTTTATGATCAGTTACCAAAAGTATTTACCGAGTGCCTAATACACACCCGACGCGACGCTACCCATGCCTGGCATAGAGAAGGGCCTCAACCTCAGAAGCGCTGCCCCATGAAGAGGGCAGGGCAGGTCTAAACATCCACACCATTACTACAGGCAGCCAGCGGCCGGCAGGGGCTATTCCTGTGAGGGTTTTTTAGCAATTTTTTGGTTTTTCATGGTCCAGGAGTTGAACCCGGGGCCTCGCACATGCAGGGCAGGCGCTCTGCCCCTGAGCCGTATCGCCAGCCCTGAGACACTCTTTAAAGTTCTCGCTGTCACTGTCCCTACTCCCTCAAGCATTTCCAGGAAGAGGAGCAGCTTGGAGCCGAGGGAACCCTTCTGCCTGCATTTCAGTACTCTGACGAACTTCCAGCTGCTCTGGGACATCTGTTAAAAGATGACAACTGTCCCTTTGTAGCTGGGGACAGACGCAGCAGCCCCTGCATTTCATACCCTCCTCTCTGGTGCGGGCAGAGTGGGCAGCTGGACATTTCCATGAGCAACTCTGGGGCTATGGAGAGGCTGCCGGACAATAGGGGATGACATTTTCCTTTTATCGCTGCATTTATCCAAAGTGTCTTTCATGAGTACGTGGTACTCTTTAAAATAGCTTTTCTTCTTCTGGTACAACCGCGCTGTGAAGCAGAAACTCAAACACAATCCCTGTTATGGCGGGGGGGGGGGCATTGGTTTTTGCAGAATCAGGTCAAAAACACATGCAAGTGTCAACCCATATTCTGCGACCGAGCAGCACCTCGCCTGAACACCCTAGACCAATGGTGGCAAACCTGTGGCACGCGTGCCATCGTGGGCTGTTTATTGTTGTTGAAAGCGCTAAGAGGTTCGCCACGACTACCCTAGACGCTTTGACACACATCTTCTCCAGGACTTACAGCAACTCGTGCACAGGTTCAGCTACTACTCTGACTTCACAGATGCGGAAAGCAGGGCTCGGAAAGTCAGGAGCCTTACGTAGGGCTCCCCACCAGCAGGTGGCCAGGTCCACCCGACTCAAAAACCCGCCCTGCACCCGTGCCCCTCGGGAAGGGTGGGGTCGTGCGCCCTCTCTGACCCAGTCCTCTGCCCACCTGCACAGCCTCCATGTACTCAGAGATCCAGAGGGAGCGGGCGGACATCGGGGGCCTCATGGCCCGGCCGGAGTACAGAGAGTGGAACCCCGAGCTCATCAAGCCCAAGAAGCTGCTGAACCCCGTGAAGGCCTCCCGGAGTCACCAGGAGCTGCACAGAGAGCTGCTCATGAACCACAGAAGGTGAGGTGAGGTGGGATGCAGCCCAGCTGCCTGAGCCTGGTAACAGCGAGCCCCGCTCCGCCTGCTGGGGCGTGGGGAGCTACCCCGCAGGGGAGGCAGGCCTGGCCATCCTCCCAGCGCTCCCGGAGGCTGAGGAGGGCTGAGGAGGGCTGGGGGCGCCCCACGAGGTTACCAGCAGAAACTGTTACGGTCCACTCCCCAGTGGGCCTCTGAGAACCAGTGGGCCTCAGAAAGGCCCATTCTGAGTCATCCTAGCACTCTGGGAAGCTGAAGCAGGAGGATCCACATTCAAGCCCAGCCTGGGCAACTTAGTAACTTAGTGAGATCCTCTCTCAGAATTGGAAAAAATACAAAAAAGCTGGGAATATAGCTCAGTGTGAAGGCCCTGGGTATAATCCCTGGCACCACACACACAGAAAGAGAAATTCTTCCGCCCAGCCACACTGTGGCCAGACCTAGGACAGGTCTGAGTTACATGTCCTATCACTGAGACACAGCACTGCACACCGCCCCTCTCAGGAGGAGAGGGGTACTTTGGCTCACGGTTTACAGAGGTTCAGTTGGTAGTTCACTGGCTCCAAGGCAGGGCAGCACGGTGGAGGAGGAACAGTCCATGGCATGGCAACAGGAAACAGAGACAGATCGAGGAAGAGGGAGGGAGACAGACCTTTCCGGGCCACACCCAGTGACCCCCTCGTCCAACCAGGCTTCACCTCCCAACATCACAGTTAGGTATAAACTCATGGATGGACTAGTCCCGGGATGAGTCCCACACCCCATGGCCCATCGCCTCCCCCAGACCCCACCTATGGTCACGGGAGGCTCTTCATCCAGATGGAAACCCTAACAGAGGGGACCCAGCTCCTGCCCTCACAGAGGTAACAGGATGGGTGCTTGGGTGGGGTGTGCATGGGCCTGAGACGCCAGAGGAGGAGCCAGGAGGGGTAAGACGCCTTCCTGAAAGCGGTGACGCGAAGGCTAAAGTGGGGCAGCAGTCAGCCCGGCAGGAGGTGGCCGATGCATGCACAGGGGAGGGCGTGTGTGCACGGACAGGAGCACAGTGGGCCCAGGGTGCCGAGGCGGGGTCCGGGAGGTGGGGCTAGAAGAGTGTGCGCTGGGATGTGGCCGCAGCCGAACAGCCCCAGGGTCTGTGCTCCGTGCCTTGGAAAGGCCCCTCTGGCCAAGGAGTGGGCACCAACGCTGCAGAGAAGTGCAGGGCGGTGGTGGGCTCCTCCACAGAATGCCCTGGGGATACAGTGAGAGACCCGGCTCGAGGGCCACCTGGGAGCTGGCCGGGCTGGATGTGAACCGGGGGACAGGGTGGCTGAAGTTCCTCTCCGAGGCCCAGAGCAGAGCTCCCGCTGGCCAGCGGCTGGATGAAGGTAACCGTGCCGGGTTGGCTCCCCCTGGTGGCCAGCTGCGGTATTAGACCCGTTTGTGATTTCCGTGCTCATTTTCAGCGGGGTGACGGGCACTGTAGAACTGACCTATTCAAATGGCCAAGGCCCTTCTCACGGGAAGACAGCCCCAAAACACTGCGCTGATTTGGGTTTTTTTTCCACTTAGTCTTATGACAGCACTTTCTGTGACTGCCTTTTAAGAATGATTACCCCTGTTAATGTTGAAAAGAGGTCACATCAAAAACTGGCTGAAAGACAAACCAGAGAAATAGTTGCAAAATTGCACATGAAGAAAAATATTAATATAGTCATATCCCAATCCACAAAAAAAAAGATGAACAAAACCAGGAGGAGTTAATTCACAAAAGAGGAGACACAAAACATGCCAGGCGTGATGGCGCACACCGGCAATCCCAGCACTCGGAGGCTGAGGCAGGAGGATCGTTGTGAGTTCGAGACCAGCCTGGGCTACGAAGTGAGCTCAAGGCCAGCCTGAGCTGCACAGCGAGACCCTGTCTCAAAAAGACAAAAAAAAAAAAAAAAAAGCAAACGGCTGGGAACTGTAGCAAGGGCTGCTCTGAAAACGAATGACACCAGGTAGGGCTTCTTGCCTGTCAGATTGTCAAATATAAAAGGGCTGGCTGTGATGACGGGAGAAATAGCTGCTCTGGAAGGGTGGTGCAGAGTACAAGCTGGATAACCTTTCTATGGAAATGCGTACACACAGCCTTGGGAAGGAGCCCAACCCAGCAAGTCTGCCTTGAGAACCTTTCCTAGGAAAATGTCCAGAAACCAGGTAAAACCTGGTCCCCAGGGCTTGATGAGCTCCAATCCCTCCTTGCCTCTTTATAGCTGAGACTTATGGGGGTCTTAAATCCTCCTCCCCGAAGTGGGACAGCAATGGCTCCACCCCCGGGCTTCCAGGAGGACTGCAGGAGATGCCAGAGCCACAGACATCACTTAGGAAGGGTTGCCCTGGGGCTGGGGGCGGTGGAAGGCCAGGCTCTCCTGACGGCTCCTCCCCCAGGGGCATCGGCGTGGACAGCAAGCCCGAGCTGCAGCGGGTCCTGGAGCACCGCCGCCGGAACCAGCTCATCAAGAAGAAGAAGGAGGAGCTGGAGGCCAAGCGGCTGCAGTGCCCCTTCGAACAGGAGCTGCTTCGGCGGCAGCAGAGGCTGAATCAGGTGGGAAGGCGCGGGGCCCACCTGAGCACCGTCCCAGGGGTGCCAGCTTCCTCCCGGTACCGCAAGCTCCTTCTGATTCGCTGTCCTAGCTGCCCCAATGGCGCAGCTACGACAGCGAATCAGAAGGAGCTTGCGGTAGAGGTGGGCAGCCGGAGGCCAGAGGGCTGTGACTTGCACCAGGCCTCCAGAACTCGCTCCACGCTCTGCGCCCTCCCTTCCCAGGCTGGCGGCCAAACTTCCCCAGCTTGGTTCTGTTCCCCACGGGGGACCTGTGACCCAAACGCTCAGCCTTTGGGAATGGAGTCCGCTAGCCCCACCCATTTTACACCTCTGCTTCTCTCTCCTCCAGCTGGAAAATCCACCGGAAAAGGAAGAGGAGGGCGCCCCGGAATTTATCAAAGTCAGGGAGAACCTGCGGAGAACCGCCACGCGGGCCAGTGAGGACAGAGCCGTGTAGAGCCCCGCGCTGCCGGCCTGGCCCAGACCCCTCTGCAGCCGCCCCTGGCCGTCCACGAGGCTGACACCTGCTCCCATAGATGCGCTGCCCCGGGGAGCTAGGCGGCCCTGGGGACCCCTGAGCTCCTGGCCTTTTCCTTCTGACCGTTGGCCCTTCCCGCCCCCAGATGAAGCCACCGCCAGGAAATCCTGCCCACGCCCTCCCCGAGTCCGAGCCCCGCAGCGGAGACCCTCCCGGCAGAACTGGAAGGGAAGGACAGGTCTTGGGAACGGTTCTGTGTGTGGCTTCACCGCGGTGCAGGTGTGCGGCAGAGCTGAGTTTCAAGGACACCTGCCTTGAAAGCCTCCGAGCCGAGACAGCTGCGGGTGGTGAGGGAGGGCAGGGCGGGGGACAAACCCAGACAGGTTTGCCAGGCTCCGCGTGCACGCCTCCCTCACAGCCCTCCTTCAGGCCCCGTGCGCGCTCCTAGCCAGCCCGCCGCGGTCGGCTCCCCGTTCTCACCGCGCTTCTCCGAGCTCTCTGCGCACAGGACTCACTGGGATCGTGCGGAAATGGCTTCGGTCAGTGCATCTGGAGCTGAGGCTCCGCGTGTCTTCCATGCTGCCGGTTGAGGGGGCTCCGAGGGCCGAGTGGCAGGGCTGGGGATTGGGTCTCAGCGAGAAAGAGCGTCCACTCCCACCGTCTTCTGCCCTGGGGGCGCCCAAAGCCACCCCGGAAGCCCCGCCCCGGGGACTCCTGGCTCTGGGAGACTTGCACCTCACAAACTACGTGGGTTACGCGATTGTCACTTTCCCCGGAGACACCCAGAATTGCCAACCTCCGTTTCCCAGTGTGACCACCCCGTTATGTGAGTCTAGCCAAAAGAAAAAATAACTTCACCTGTTCTACAGCCTTTTTGGAAAGCAAATGTATAGTGATTTCCAGCGGGCTTCTGGACACATAAGCAGTAGCCTGAAGACCCCCTGGGTGCTGACAGACTGGCCTCCCTGAGCCCATGTTTCCTGCCTCTGACCCCTGGGACCCCTGGAAAAACCTGGCCCCTGCAGTACACCCACCCATTCTTCCTGTTCCAGACCCAGATGTTTTATCCTTGACACCTATGCCATTTTAATAATTGAGGGAATAAGCCTGCCCTGCTTCTTCTCCCCTGAAGCACAAAACCCCTGCCTCAGGCTTTGTAAACCATTCCTTGAAGATGACAGAACAGCCGGGTATGGTGACACACAGAGACAATCCCAGCACCCAAGGAGGCTGAGGCAGGAAGATCACAAGCTCAAGGCCAGCCTGGGGAACTCAGAAAGACCCTGTCCAGAAATGAAAAGGGTTAGGCATGTGACTGACAATGCTGCCTGGCGTATGCAAGGGGCTAGATTCTCTTTCCAGCACTGCCGAGAGAGGCAGGCAAGCCGCTGTCCGGATGCAGTAGGAACACCAACGGAATGCTCGAGGTCCCACCCAGCCCTCAGAGCCGGCTCCGTGGAAATGAAGCTGCAGAAGTAGGAGGGACCACAAGCATCCAGTCATCTAGCAGGTCCAAGACACCCTGGCACGCCCCCTGCTGGCCATTCCCGCATCCACCTCTCTACCCACTTCCCATGAGACAGGCTATACATCCAGATTCTCAGGGCTCCAGTCCGCTTCACAGCTTGGGGTGACCATGTGACCAGGGATGGCCAATGAAACTGAAGTGGAAGTCTACAGGGGCTTTGGGAAAGCTTGTGCTTTTCTGATTTAAAAAATTAAAAAAAAAAAAAAAGACACATGGCTAACTTCTTCCCTATACCCTTCCCTTCTTCCTGCCTTGATTGAGGATGTGATGCCTGGAACCATAGCAGCCACTTTGCTACATGAGAAAAAGGCCAAGAGAATCACAGAGATCCTTTGACCAAGCCAATGGCAGCAGCTATCCGTCTCAAGCATTCTTGTAAATAATAATAAATCCTCGTTTGTCTAAGCTGTTGTTGGTTAGTCTCTGGTACCTACAACTCAAAGGGTTCCTAGGTGACATAAAAATTGTTTCTCAGCCTCTTTGCTAAGATCATATATAATATCTAAGTGACACAAAAGGAAGTCACGCCTGAGTGCATGCGTAGAAATGCCTGCAGGCCGTGCTGAAAATTCAGTGTTCTCCCCATCAGAACCCTCTTGCATCGGGGTCCCCTGTTCCTGGGCAGCGGTAATCGCGCATTTGTTGAGTGCCCGCCCCCATGCCATGTGCCGGGAGAGTGCCTGCCTTCGGCGGCGCTGTGGCTGTAACCTCCGCCTAGGGGTCTCCCCGCCGCCACCCTCGCCCTGGCAGCCTGGGCCCCGCTCAGCTCCTCACTCAAAGCCATCCTGCAGCGCTCTGAGCCCGGCTCAGCCATCTGCACAGCGCCCTGTCCTGGCCGCAAGAGGAGGTTCGTCCTGCGTCTGGAAGGCGCTGCGGCTCCCCCTTCCTCCACCCCCGCCCCCCACCCCACCCCCGCACCCCCTCGTCAGCCCTGGCTGCCCCCCGAGGCTGTGGCGCTCCCCACCTCCCCACCTCCCCGCCCGGGCCGGCGCCCTCACCTCGCTCTCCTCCGCCGGGCTTTGCGAGCTCCTCCTGAGGGAGGGACCACCGCGCAGGCCACCATCCGCACGCTTGCTATCTCAGGAGCTAGGACCCGCCTTCTGAACTGCCCTGAGCGGGTCTGTCGCTTACGCCGCTTACGCGGGAATCGCTGTGGCCCTGTGACTTCACTATTTGGCCTGCGAGGCTCGAGGGGTCTTCGGGAAGCATTCCCTCCGGTGCAAGGCAGGAAAGTAGCCTCGGTCGCCGCAGACCCCTCAGCGGCGCTGCAGCCACCCGAATAAACGAACTCCTGTCTTCCAGGGGCCTCCACAGGCCCCGCACACCTCTTCCTGGCCTCCCTGCAACCCGTTACCCCAGTCCCGAGGGCCACGCATCCCGTCACTCCTTTACACACGTCCGAGTCTGTCTCACAGCGTCAAAGCGTCGCGCCTTAGCCAGGTCTTCGGCCCTCACTCTTGTGAAGTCCCCAAGGAAAGTTAAGAAACCCTCTCCGCTTTGCGCTTTCCAGCAGCCTGGTCTTCATTTGCTTCCTAGCTCCGGCCAGAGGCCACAGAACCAAGGAGCGGTAGAAGGGTCTCCCGTCCCAGCATCCCTGCCCTCCCTGCCTTGGTTTTCCTTCCCGCATTTACTACCACGGAGCATAGAACAAGTGTTAGTGTCATGCGCAGCTCCCTAACAGTAAGGTCCACTTCGGAGCACATGGACTGTCCTCTGTTTCTCCTGACTCCCTGCGTGCGCCCAAGGTGCTCGGTGATCAAGTCCTGGTGCTGCAGTGCGCCCAGCTCTCTCCTAGCTTGAGCCAAGAGAGAAGGACCCCTCTGCTTTCACCCCCTCCCCCGTTTCTACCTTCCCCAGACGGCCAGTTTGGCCCACAAGTCCTGACCTGCTCCCCTGGGCTTTCCCCAGTGCACCTGGGCCCCACAGTCCGAGGGGGCTCTGCGGCTCCTAATCCGGGGGAGTCCAGAGCAGGATCATCCCGACCCGCAGAAGGTCAGCCACCACCCGCCCTGGAGCCCTGAGAGGGAAAGGGCGGGCCACAGAGCCTGGCCCCTGTCGCACCCAGCCTGTGCCCTCGCCCAGTGCTGGTTTGGCTCGGAAAAACAAAACCCTCTTCCATGGCAGCCCAGCCCTGAACACAAAGCCTGGGGAAGGGGGCAGCCTTCAGCGGGTGAAGGGACCTCCCTCCCTGACGCCGAAGCGTGGGTCCCAGCCGTGCTCAGAACCCAGCGGCTCTGGCAGAGCAGCCTCAGCACGCGGGAGATTCCAGTAACCGCAAGCCCCAGACGTTCAAGGCCGTGTCGGGTCCTCCTCGCCCTTACCTCCAGGCCCAGCCCAGGCACTGGGACTTAAGGCGTTCAAGAAGTTGTGCGTGGACGTCAGTAACAATCGCTGCTTTATGGAGGACCCACAGTGTAACCCCTGTGACAACCCTGTGTGACCCGTCCCACTCTCCAATGAAGAAACCCAGGCCCAGGTAAGACCAGGTCTTAACTGCCCGTGTCCATCCTGTCACGTAGTCGTAGTTGCCCCGGGCTGCCCACAACAGAACACACAGACTGGCTAGCTTAAGCAATCTTCTCCCGGTTCTGGAGGCTGAAGTCCAAGTTCATGGCACCAGCACGGGCAGTTTCGGGTGAGAGCTCTTCCTGCCTTGTGGACAGACACCCTTTCATTGAGTCCTCAGAGCAGAATAAAGGGCGTGGGCAGGGCAAGCTTTCCGATGTCTCTTCTTTTAAGGGCACTAATCCCATCGTGAGGGCCCCACACTTGTGACCTCCCCTAACTACCTAATTACATCCCCAAAGCCCCTTCTCCAAAGCAGTCACACTGAGCATTAGCCTTTCACACATGAAGCGGGTGGGGGAACACAAGCTGTCCACCCCACAAAACCATCTGGGCTGATGACTTGCTGGCGCTCATCCCGAGAAGGTACGGGGCAGGCTCATTCTCCGAAGTTAGCCTTCTCATTAACTGAACTCATCTTCCTCCCAAAAAAGGTCTGCAGAGATAGTGAGCAGTGGAGCCCAATGAAGGGCCTCAGCAATGCTCCTGGGTTGCCTGGCAACAGCTAAATGTACCAGGGCCTCCTCCAAGTTAAACCTTCCCATGAGACTGGGGAATTTTCAAACTTCCTGGTGTCTGATCTAAAATGCTTGTTCCCCCTGCAAAGCCAGCTTCAGGCTTGCCCTGAACAAGAGGAACCCATGGTGCAGAAAGAGGCTCTCTGCTGGGTCCGACAGCCAGATTGGCACAGGCAGGAGGAACGACAGCATTCCCCCAACACCTGCCGCCCTCTGTCCCCAGGACACTGCTTCTGTTACTCTTGGGCATTAAATTAGCCGTCAGGAGGCTATAAATTCAGAGCATCGCTTCAGTCTTCCAGGTTAAATGGTGACCGCAGAGTGAAAGACAAGTATTGTCATGGGGAAGTGGGGAACAGAGGATTACCCAGACCCCGAGCTGGGGATGGTGTCACAATTAACTATACGAAAGTTGTGAGCTCCCCAGAAGCTGAGGCAGAAAAGATCAGTCAGTTTCTATCCAAAAACCTAGAAAGCGTCAGGAAAAGCAGCACAGAACAATACAGTGATTTTCAACTGGTGCCTCACGGAGCGAGGAAGGCTGAAGTCAAGCTGCGTGTAAGCTCCTGGACCATCACCACCTCTCCCGGTGGTGACTACGCAGAGTGAAGGCAGCTCAGAGTGTATGGTTCCATGTCTATTTCTGCTCACACACAGATCCCACGGGCAAAAAACAAACACCAGAAAAATCCCCAAACCTGATTTCCCATCCTGACTCTGGCACCCACTAACTACAATTTTAGGGAAAACTGTGCCTTGTTTTCCCTTTCTGTAAAATAGGTGTCAGCGTACTCACTTTCTGGGGGCGTTTTTCATTTTGAAGTTGGTACTAGGCCCGGCATTTAGAACAGACGTTCACTGAAGTAGCTGTTGAAGAGTGTATTACCCCAATATATGCGTCTTTGATATAAAAATCGTTTTTGAGCTGAAGGCAAAAACCAGCAAAGAGAGAAAAGCTCTCTTTCTGCGTTCTCCTTTTTCTGCCTAAAGCTGCATATAAATGCTTCTGTCCTCTGAGCAGCCCAGAAATTGCACCAGAGGAATCCAGGCCTGAGGAACCAACCTGAGGCTTCCCTTCGTCCTGCAGTCTCTCCACAGCACAGTGCTCTGCTGTGAAGATGCTGTGTGAGCCGGATTCTGAGCCTGGCTTGAGTTCCTTCCCCCCGCGTCAGCTGTGTGCCTTCACAAACGTTTTTCCCTCGTAACTTGTCTTGTTACAGGAGTCTCTCCCCACTAAGAACTCAGAAGGATCGAGGAGAAAGTGTTTTCCTCTCCCCACTGTTATTACCCCCCGTGCCACTTTGCCAGGAAATAAAAAACTCTGGACACGAAGTGCCAAGCAGGAGCATTAATCGCATACTACGCTACATGCAAAGGAGTACTTTAGTAGAAAAGGCAGGAGGGCTCCTCTTGCAGTCCTGGGTGGCGAAAATCCCAGCGGAGCTCCTCAGGGCCCCAGGAGAACAGGGGCTAATTCTGTGACTCAGATTTGGATTCAAGCCCCAGCCCTGCCACTTGTGACTTGCTGCACGCCCGGGGAACTTGCTGGATATTCTTTTCCACATCTGTGATGAGGGAAGCAAGAACTACACTCCTTGAACATCTAGTATCTGTGCCAGGAACTGATCTGAACACTCCCTGAATTATCTCACGTAACCCTCATCGCACTGTCTCGAGCTCTCATTGTATCTGGACCGTGTCTGCCTAACTCTTTTATCTTGGTACCACTCGTGAGGGAGGCAGCAGGAGGGTATTTTGCAAAGCACCCACATTCAAGCCTTCTCATCTGTTACCAGCAGTGCTCTGTGAGTGTGCTGAGACCTGATGGCCCTCCTCCTTCCCTCACACCAGCGGCCCTGCCCAAACCAATCTGACACAGCACACCCCTGGACCACGAACCCCCAGCCGATCCTGCTGACAGACATTAGAAAAGAGAGAGGCCAAGTGGGACACAGGGATCCACGTGACTGCCCCAGACCCAAAAGCTCAGGAAGGAGCAAGGGAGTGAGACAGATCCACGCTGAGCACCGTTACCCGGCAGGGCGCCAGGCGGGGCCCAGGATGTAAGAGAACAGACAGAAAGCACAGCACACTGCCAAGGGCGCGAGTTCCTGCTCCGTCCCTCTCTCCCCGTTTCAGGATATGTTTACAGGTGGGAGGTGAGCGAGCCCAGGCTTCAAGCTCCGAAGATAAACTTAAGAATATGGGGGGAAGGGGCCGGGGATATAGCTCAGTGGCATAAGCGCCTGCCTGGCAAGCGCAAGGTCATGAGTTTGATCCCTGGTACGGCAAAAAAAAAAAAAATCTAGAGGGATCTGAGGG